ATTTGTACCGTCAAATTTATGCCGTCAAATTTGCACCGTCAAATTTGCAGCATACGTTGAGAGAAATAAAATGACGAAGGAAGAGGAATGAAATAAGAGGGGCAATCGGCAGGACCCTCCCACGCGCCCTTCTTATCGGGCGCCGATCGCGAGCAATGTGTCATGCGCGCGCATATCGAATGGCCGAGTGCCCCGGCGGCGTTTTAATATACGATACCGGGAATAAATTTCACCGCGGCGCCAATCTCATCAATATACACGCTATTAAGTTGCCGAGAGTGTAATTACCGAATACATTGTACGCCGATGCGTTACGACCCCGGCCCTCGGTAGGCGGTGAGAGATACCGCGGCTCGTTATCGCCCCCCCCCCGTTCCCTTCGCGAATATCAATGACACCGCGCGCGGGAGTTTAAACAAAATTTCATCGAGCATAGGTCGAATAAATAAATCGCCACCAGAGGAGGTCGTAAGGAGTCAAACGAGACGCCCCGTATGCAGCGGCATAATGCAGTTTGTCGCGCCCCGGTGGGAATGGAGCAATCGTAAATCAGAAAATAAACCGCGGGACACGCGTTTCGCGGATTGAGCGTGAAGTATGAAATAACGTTCGCCTTTACTGTGCGAGTGCGTTTCCTCGCCGAACCCCGAGAGAGCCTTCTTGCGTGCATTCCCGGCTGGTTGCATCAAGGTTACCTGCGTGCACCTACCGGTGCACAGGAATGCAATAGCCTCCGCGATTGACAAGGTAAGCGACAAATTATCCCCCACGAAGAACCCCGGGTCTAAGTTCCCTCCGTGCGAAGCCGCGCTTTTGAAAAAAAATTAACTGCTAGAGAAAAGAAAAAAAAAGAAGAAATTAACATGCAAATTTAAACGTTGAATTTTTAGGATGGAACCGGCGGTCAAGAAACTCATCAGAGTTTCCGGATATTTACACCTGCGTGAGGCTCACTATACGGGAAGTGTTTGTAGAGAGAAAAAAAAAATTGATAAACAAAATGCAGAAAAAAAAAAACGTTGAATTTTGGGTCGGGGAGACTCGAGGGGTCTTCTTCGAGGAATTCACGGAGCGATTCCTTCCCGAAGGTGGGTTTATAATGAGAAAAAAATTTAATAAACAAAAAGTACGACGTTAGTGTCGAATTTGCAGGGTGGATGCCGAGGGGACACTCTAAGGGCCTTCTTCGAGGTATCCTGGGAGCGATCGCTCCTCGGAGCCGAGCCTCGATCCTTATACGAAAAGCTTCAACACCTGTCCCGCAATATACGAAACCACGGGACCTACCAAACCGCATTCTGTCGCAAACGACGGTTTCTCCAGCGGAAAAAGGGCCCTCGGCTCGCAGGAAATCCACCTGCCTCGCATTATGGGACCTAACGACCTCGTGGGATATCCCAACGGCTTCGGGCTGATCGATCTCGCATGCGTTAGGAAAACTGTTCCCCGAGTTCCGCAGGAAGCGTAACGCATCGAGGGACACCCTAAGGAACCAGGAAACCGGAAGGCGTGCCACCTCGAAGACGGTTTTTTAGATTCGCAATATGGCCTCCTAGATGGCAATAAGTCGGCTCGTCGCGATTTCCGGCACCGGGGTAACATCTGCCCGTTGCGCTCAGTAAGCGCAACTAACCCGGGAAAATAAAAAAGAACAAATAATCAGAGAGTCCACCAGAAGCGAAGACTCGGCTCGATCAGTCCAATTACCGGTCGCAAAAAGACTTCACGCTTAATTGGAGCAAAACCCATCGCCGTAGAATTAACCACGCTCAATCGCCTCGATTGAGGATTTTACTCGGGTCGGTGATTGAGCGGCAGGTTGGGATAAAAAAAAAAGAAAAAAAAATGGCAGGACGTCGCCAAGATTTTCCCGTTCCCACCAGTATCGGTGGAGGGATTTCTCGAAGAGGATCATCTCCGAAACGGGACCTTCTACGGCTTTCCTGCCGCAAAGGATGGCCGAAAGGTAATCCGAGGAGGGGACCAAAAAATGCCAGGATTTTTTCCCCGGGTCTCGAATTCCCGGATTCTGCGTTAAGAGGTCCCCCCAGGAAACGCGCCAAATTTATCCCAGACTATCGGGATGCACCGCGGGGCCTTAACCTGCATAAAAGATAAAGGGAATAAGCACCACAGGTGGAGAGAATTTAAATAACCCCGAAATCGTGGAGTCACGTCCGCGCAGGCGCGCGCCCGGGGTTTAACGGTAAAGAAAATCACGGTTTTGTTTTATTCATCGGGCTTTCGCGGCCGCAACTCGAGCGGAACCCGGCAAAAGGACTACGCGAACCGATGAGAAATGAACGCTAGTCTAGTAGCCACAAAGTACAGGTTTAGAGAGAGAGGCATCTCGGATGCAGGTCGCTCGGCCAGTCTGAAGGAAGTGACCGGAGAAAAACGGGTCGTAACGGAATCGCGAAAGCCGTTTCCTCCCTACGCGAATGCAGGGAGCTGCATAGCGAAAGTATATGGAACGGAAGTGCCGCACCGCTTAAAAGAGATATTGCGGTAGGCCCCCCTCGAGGGCGAGTGCCCGAAATACGAGTTGCACGAAACGGCGGGAAAAGGACTGCGAGAGTGGCGCCTCGTAAAAAAGAGAAAGAGAAAAAGGAGAGAGAGAGAGAAAAAAGAAGAAATGCCGCAACTCCTCCTGGGCAATGGTGAGAGTTAATAAAAGTCTCACGGTGTGTGAGAGGAGAGGCCGGGAGTCACGGCGAGTGAAAGTGCATTCGAATTTCTGGGCCGCATATCTCGGATGCAGCGAGAGTACCCGAGAGCTGACGGAAGTAGCCGAGTAACGGAATCGCCCCGAGGACCTCAACGAGACCTGCAAAGGACGAGCGATAAGATCTACGGTCTCGAGGATGCCGACGAAAATCGAATCGCAGGGCCTAAAGTGCATCCCGTATGCAGGTCGAGTACGCGAGCGGAAGTAACGGCTCGTAACAGTTCGTAACGGGCTCGCGGAAGGACTTCCGTCGAGCGTAAACAAGAAAAGGAGCAGCAGTAAGGACAGGGAGCGGGAAGAAAATCGAAAGCGAAGGCCTTGAGCTCTATGCAGCCTTGAGTGCATCCTGGATCGTATCTCGAGCGGAGGAACTGACCGAGTAACGGGGAGCAACGGTCTCGTTACATCGTTATATATTATATTCCTCCCTTTCTCCCAGCAGGTCGTCAACGGTAAACGTCGAGTCACGAGGCTTAGAGGAAGAAAAGGGAACGAAAGGACGTAGAGAAAGTGAGGAGAAAGGAAGTGCAGGTCGAGCGCCGACGGAAGTGCCGGGTAACGGCCTTAACGGAGCCAGGAAGGGACGTCCGTCGTGTCGGATAAGAATCGACGACGCATCTCCGATTATTCTCGGCCGGTCCAGATCGGCCTAAACTCCTCTCTCTTTCTCTCTTTCTCTCTCTCTCTCTCCCACCCAGCCTCTCGGCGAGTTCGGAGGCCGGACCCACTCCGGTTGCTAAGAGAAACGATCCTCTCCCCGAGGGGACCCAGCCACCGACAAAAATTCGACTTTCATGGAAATCCACGCCGTAAGGTCCTAAACCGGAAGTGATGTCCGATGCACCCGACACATCGAGTCGCGTAAACTCGCGGACGGCTTCCCTTTGCCGCAAATTTTTTTCAGGAGGTAATTTATCGGAGAATTTATGGACCGACTAAATGACGCTCTGGAGATGAAAAGGAGAGAATTTATCCCGGGTCTTTTTGGGCCGAGCAGCTTCCCGAATCCACAAAGAACGCTCTGTAGAGTTTACCTGAGTTATACCTGAGTTTACCTAATGTCCAGCCTCCCGGTCCAGGGTCTTAACACCTCCTATCTTCCTCTCTCTCTCCCACTCGGACACGCGATTAGCGAGAACGCGACACGCGTCCCCGTGTATCCCCGATCCTCCGCGGTCGGCGGGTAAACGCCGTTTAGCGGCTTGAGAAAAACCCGTTAAGAATCGATTACCTCCTTTTCAGGCCGAAAACTCCGGTGAATCGATTATCGCGCGTCACGTCCCGCGACTCTTTTTGCTCCTCGACAATGCCTCGGCAAATTGGCTTGTTAGGGGCTGCCTAATCAGCGGAGGTAAAAATTCACGGAACGGGGGATTTACCGAGGATTAAGGGAGCTCGGCCTCAGGAACTTGTCTTTTATGGCCGCTTAACTCCGACGACCGAGACGAGGGGATCCACTCGGACGAGTTACGCGATTGAAACGTTACATGGCGTTCTTCGAGTTCCGGGACGAAGGTGCGAAGGGCTCCCTCGTTTCCGGAACTCGAGGGTCACGTGACCGCCGAATTGCAAACTAAACAATGGACGAACAATGGGAACCGATTCCTCGGTCCAGTTCCGAAGATACGAAATTAATGACGCGTCGTTTTTTCAGCATCCGATTTTTTTTTTTTTTTTTTTTTTTTCGGGATAGGCTCGGTGCAGCCTGATGCAACGCGATAAGATAGGTGGAAGATGAAGGGAAATAAGTCAGAGTTCCAAAGGAAGCGATATCTCGAACGCACCGATAATGTCGACTTAAATTTTGAGCGAGCCCGTTTCCGTGGTTTTGCTCTCGATAACGTTAGGCGATCTTCAATTGTAGCGCGACTTACGGTTTATTTACCCTGTCGGCCACCTTTGAGTACGCCGCCGCGAGAGAGTAGGTATATAATTGCCTGTGTAATTAGAGGTCATGTAGGATGTACACAAGCGCGTGATAACGGGTAGCTCGAATTTGACGCGAGTGTCGAATTCGATGCCCGAAGACGAGCATGGTGCCCTGCTTTAGCATGCCCTGCTTTGTCGAGTCTTTACCCACATTATGCATTCTTTTTAAACAGAGGTCATCAACCGCAGCTTCGTGTACCGAGTGGCTTCTCGATGGGTACATTGTAATAATTGTAATAATTATGTATAATTAAAATTACCAAAAGGCAGGGAGAGATCATTCGTCGCAAGGATTTGAATACTAACGAGGCTAAAATTTTTATGGGACGGAAGATGGACTTACCTTGACGAAAGAGTGGAACCTGACTTTGCTGGGAGACACCGGTGGACTGTTCGGTGGCAGCGCCAGAGGTGGAACTTGCAGTAGGTTCTGCACTTCGAGGAGATACCCCTTCCTGGCGTATCGACTCTTCGGACTCATCTGAACGTCTCCTTCCAGCTTGGCCTTCCTAATCATCTTGAGGTTTTCCTTGGCGTTTTGTCTGAGTATTATGTAGCTCAGTCTTCTCATGTTGGCACGCGAGTCATTGGCACAGATTCTCCTCCATGCTTTGGAGACCATGGAAATTGAGCAAAGATCTTGAGGACTGAGGAAAGACAGGATCTTCGAGACGATCCGCCAGTGGTTGCTCTTCTCCCCGAGTAGAGTCAACAAATCCACTGTTTCCCGACCTGTACAATCCGGCACTGCTCTCGCTCTATAGAACGCTACAGACAAAGCTTTCTGACTGAAATCCAACCTCTTAGGTCTTATCTCTGGAATGGCGGCTAAGTTATTGATTTCGAATTCGTGCCTCTTGCGTTCGTCCACCGTAGATGCTATGGGACTGTTCCTGGAGATGCACGGAGAGAACGTCACGCGGTGCGACAGACTTTTGCACCTGTACGAAGTGGTCACGTGTGGCGTGCTCTGGGGTAGGATGACTAGCTTCATTTCCACGTCTTCTTCGCTGGGCTCGGAAGCCAAAAACGAGGACGAGGGTACCTCTGGAGAAGGTGGCTGAGAAAGAGGACACACTTCGGAGGAGGGTGCAACGGGACCGGTTGCCTTCTCGCTCCATCTGGAGTGACTTCTGAGACGTCTCGTCGCTTGTCCTATGTCATGAAAGCCCGAGTCGATGCTTCCATTCGCCCCGTTTAGGTTCGAGCGATCGATGTCCACTCCACAGGAGTCCACGCTGGAGCTCGCAATTTCCGTTGAACTCGAGGCATCCACATTCGGGCTGACGAGCTCTGCGGTTTCGTTCAGATAACTACCACAGATGGATTCGGAGTGGTAAGAGGCATGATTAAGTCTAGGACGTAGCCTCTGAGATCGCTCCAATTGCCAGGGCTCTAGGCGGTTCCGGTGGTACCTCTTCCCCAAGGCGTACGAACTCCTGGTCCGACATCCCGCGACGAGCGGCGTGTGGCTGCCCGAATGCGGCGTCAAACTCAGGTACCCACTGTCCATGCTGTCGTAGGAACTGCGCGTGCTGTGAACGCTGATATTCGCCATGCCATGCGACATCTCGCCGGTGCTCTGCGACTCCTCCATCTCTCTCTCTTGCGCCGTTTCAAGATGTTTGCGCCTAATAAGAAAATTCTGGCAAAAACGGTCGTCAAGATTATCGCCGGTCCTCGCCGTGACGCCTCTCAGGAACCATGGTGTTGCTCGGCCACCTGGTCGGCGCGACACGAGCTCGCCCCTCGTTTGAGCGTCGTTGACGTTTAGCGATGCCACCCCGTGCGCGCGCCAACTTACCACTGACTTTCCGAGGGCCGTCCGTCCTATTTAACGGAGTTCTCTCAGCTCCAGCGACCCTACGTCATTTTCCAGGCCCGAAGGTGTCGATTCCGAGCCGAAACGGTCCGCCCGGTCGTTGTTACGAGCCGCCCGTAAAAACCACCCCTTGGCGCAGCATCCACCGTGGGGGTCCAAAACAAAAGCCGGCTGCAAGGTCGGAGACGGGACACGAGGTACGGCGCAATTTCCTCCGTTCGCGGTCTTTGGCCGGCTCGCGAAAACCCGCGACCCTCGATACTTTCGGATCCGGCGCGAAACGCGCAATTTTCACGATCAAACGTCGCAAGGCGACGACGAAAAGTGCGCCAAAGACGCGCGCGCGCGGGCACGGACTCTCCCTCTGCGTGCCTTGCGCTGCGGACACTTCAAAACTTTGAACACTGTTTACCCGAGGTCCTACCGAGGCTCCCTCGAGGACGCGCCGGCCAATCGCGCGCTGCCTTTTGTCCCGCCCGACCGTTGCCAAGCGCCCTCATTGGCTGGCGGCTCCCATTGGCACGTCGCCCGTGCTGCCGCCAGCGGACCCCGCGGTAACCTCCACACTCCGCGCCCGCTCTGTTGCTGGGGAGACTTTCCTCGTGCGGGATACCGCGTTTCCACCTGCGCCCTGCGCAAGCGTCGATTCGTGTTCCCGAGCGCGGGATGCGCGTGCGCAGGCAGATGGCCCGCTGCGTAGCTCTACGCGTGCGCACGCCGAGCTTTCACCGGGATTCTTCACCAACGAGACAAAGGCATGAAATTTTAGCAGCAATGGATATTTACCCAAATCGTATGTGTGATAAAATACGGAGAAATAGATTGAACATCGTGGATGGGAGGTTGTTGGTGGTTTAGGTTAGAAATAGTAGTTATTTGTTCGGGGAATTTGACGAGGGATCGCGACTGGAATGATCACCACTGTCTTGAAATTCCTTGGTTGCGTGATCGTGGACATGAGTGCGTTTATTTGAGGGACGGCGTGTTTTGGATGGATACGACATTTTAACGTTCGTTCAGCGGATTTCGACTGTAAATAACTTACTTCGAGATGGATTTAGAATCTAGCAAAACCGAGTCTGTTCCTAAGCAAGCTATGGTCTATATTTGTGGAGGTACGGTACAATTGGCAGTAATTTGAGTCGCTTAACCTCACTTTTCAGGAATGTAGGCAGTGTTACTTGATTGAATTTATTATGAGTGGGATTGATATTGTTTTTAATCAATTTGCAGAGTGCCACCACGATAACGAAATTCGACCCAGGGAACCCATTCGATGCAGAAAGTGTGGATACAGAATTATGTATAAGAAGCGTACTAAGCGTCGTATCCTTTTCAACGTTACTTTCTTTTTTTCACACTCGTGTATTAAAAGAATTCGTTTTCCTTAATATTTTCTTATAGTGGTCGTTTTTGATGCACGGTAAACCGAACTACGGAGACCAGAGGCTGCGATACCTTGATACCTAAATTACATAATCTATAAAGGTGTATATTTATTTGATGAAAGTCACGTAATGTTATTTTAATTAAAGTATGAGTGTAATTTGATAAAAATGGCTGTGTACTTCAATTTATGACTATGGTCCATACTTCTTAATTCTCCATACTCAATGAATAATGCTTCAGTCAAGTGGTAATTTTTAGGCAATTATTTTTTTTATTTACAATAAATAAATTACATTCTCATCAATAGTTCAACAGAGTCGCAGAATCAGGAAGAAAGCTGACAGCAGCACTGGCAAAGTGTTGGCATTTGATGATCGATATAAGGTGGCTTTAACTACATTAAGTATATGTTTACAAAATCTTACTCCGGTCCCATTATCTGATATCCGTCGGCAAAAGCCTTTTTGGTTCCGAGTGTTTCTTTGTCGCGATTCTCTCTACGTCTTACATCTTAGACGAGTAGCCATCTCGAACGATCGGAAAGTACGTTCGTCGATGACGTTAACGGAGACTACGTACATCTCCCGGTAAATGTTTATAAAACCCTAAAGACCTAGATCGTCTACGGTAGATATAAAACGCTATTATGCCAGCAGTTTGTGAGTGTCGGTGTCCGGAAGGTATAGAAAATTTAAATTATCCATAAAAATAGACGGGAGGATCCTTTTACAAATTTCTCGACGAACAGAAGTAAGAAGGAACGAAGGGCTGACTATATAAAATGTAGTCCGATCAAACGTGGAGCGGAGTTCATCGACGTGTCCGATGAGTTTTACCACACTTCGTCGTAAAGACCTAATACTGAGTCTGGAAGAAGCCAAGCCAACGTTTTCCAGATACGACGCGAATTCTCAGCTAACGGACTAGCACGATCGTTCAACAATTCCTAAAACGTATCGCCAGAAACTTGAAATGAATTTACAAATCGTTTAAAACATCTTCGGACACTAGCCCAAGATCATGCTCCGGGTTTACAAAAGTGCCCTCCCACCCTCTCTAACTAATTCGTTCCTTAGCTTTACATCCAAATCCCACATCGGAACGGTACATTTTGGCATCGATATCAATCATTACTATTCCATCTGAGAATCATTGATATGTGAGTGGCGTCTAGTTAACGCATAAGTCGAAAGTCACGACGCTCCTACAAAGAGTGACGCTCGAAAAATATGTCTCTAAGAATCTACCATGGAAAAATATACCCAATTTCTCCCCCGTTTGACGCGCAACGTTTCCCCGTACAGACTGGTCAATCCTTCCTCGAGAGACTGCTAAAAAAATAACATCCGACAGCTCTCGGAGCGTCGATTCCCCTTTTCGCAAACGAGAAGACCCGCGGCCTCGTCGCGTCAGAAAGGAACGTTGACTTGGCATTTTAGACACTCGGAACGCGTATACAACCATACGCTCGATTTTTGGAAGCTCGTAACATAGTGTTTGTTTTTTTTTTGTTTTTCTTGCGGTTCGGGTCTCGATAGAATTACGATAGATATACATCGAATACTACGTTAACGCTACGCTACATTGATATCGTTTGGCAACAATCTCTGCCGTGTTAAGTGAAAAAGTCACGGCTACATTCCAACGCTCGAAGCGAACGGGACGTTCTGCCACCGCCATGGAAAATGGAATAAAACGCCATTTAAATGGAACGTCCCGTTCCCTCCGAAAGGGATATAAATCGCAGTCGCGACTTCCCGATTAACAGGGCAAATTCTTTCCGAGCGGACACCTCGTTGTATACAATTGTGCGATCGTCCTTACGCAGTACGTTCCTTTCGATCTCGCCTCTCTCTTGAGAGTTCATATAGGTTGTAAATTACGGTTACATCGAAGTGATGATATTATGCGATAAATAAGGAAAGTCAGCCGGCACTCGACATAACCGATCGAAACGACGCGTGTTCTCTGGTCTAGACGGGCACAATTGTCGACCGCGATAACGGCTCTCTCCTTCAAGGTACCATTTCTCTCGTTTCTCGTTCCAGAAGAGATAGTGAATTAAAACGCGGACAAGTCGAGGCCGCTATCGCGAGAGGTTGCTCGCAAAAGGAAGAATCGCAATTCGGAACACAATGCTTTGTGCTGGTGCGTTCTCAGAATATATCGAGGAAAAGCTAGGAAGACGCGCCCGTTTACAGAATCTCGATCGCGGACGGCGACCGACCTCGGTGTGAAAACGAATGGATCAAAGCCAACTTCGAAAACCGATACTGCTCCGTGACTTCTTTTCGTTCTTCTTCTCCTTTTTTTTTCCTCATCGTACAACTCTACGCGCGCGCGATCGGTATATATATAACCCTTATTCATATAAATATATACAAACGCATGTTTTCTCGTGTTCAACAATATTTCATCTTTTTCTCATTACCTCGCAAACGGTCCATCGCCTTGTCTTACAAATATATACATATACATGTATACTTGTATATATATATATTCATTAATATATGCCTTCGCGTACCGTTAAGTAAATTAATAATAGATAATATTAATCCGTAATATTAGAATACTCTTCGAGGTTGCACGCAACATTTGCACTTTAAATACAGAATCACATACCAGTCCATTGCACCTTAATCGGCTAGCTCTCGAATATTAACTCGCGTATAAATATTACAATTTCCGTTACTAGGTAACAGTGCTCTCGGTGCATTCCCCCCGGGTTCGTTTATGACGCGGCGAGGTCGCCGCGTCCAGCCCACGTGAGTTCCGAATGATAAAAATGAACTCTTCCCGTGCCACCTTACAGGACCTTCGACCACCGTAAGGTATGCGTATATATCCCGTCCTTCGTACATAAAAACGCGTTGTACCTTTCACAGTTGCGCGCGGAGTTTTCTAATTAAATGCTAACCGCTTTGTATTACTAGAGAGACCAGACTACACGGTTCGACCGAACGTCCCAGGGTAGCCGTACCCAGCCCCGATTCCCCGTCAAGCTCCTCTGCCCCATAGAAAATCCCCATCCGAACCTGTCAAGCGTTTCTCCAAGTTAACCGGTAATTTTGGCACTATGTGTCGTCGATTTTCTGCCTACTGTGGTCCTCCCTGATAGCGGACTCCTCCAGCATCCTCTTATGAGTATTCTCCACGTCCCTGCACTCGAGCCCGATCCTGTCGCCCCGGATCCCGATGCTCGCCTCCGACTCGATATTGTGCTCCACGAAGCAGTGCACCTGGAGCTCGTTGACGGTCCTCATGGACGCCGTGCAGACTCGACATTTGTACGCCAGCGAACCCTCCATGGGTCTGACCTCCTCGTGATGGGACATCGAGTGGTTCTGCCTGTCCTTGACGTGGTCCGACCTCGGCTGGACGAAGTGAGGACTCACCAGGTGGACGTCGCCCCCCATGGACTTGGCCTCCTCGCCGGCGAGCAACGGCATGTGATATCCTCGCGAGGCTTCCAGGTCGGCCGCCAGCTGAGGGGGATGATACTGGTGCATCGAGTGCTGAGGAATCGGCTCGCCCTCGTCGGAGGAAGTTTCACCGCCGCTGGCCTGATTCGGGATCATCTCGGCGTCCCACTGTCCCATCTTGCTGGGATCCTTCTCGTAAAGCTTCTGGGCTAAAATCTGAAGATAAAAGGAGACGTTAAGAACTGTAGATACATCGGGTCGTTCCCTCAAATTCCCGGATATATTGGTAAGGATTGAAAAATAAAAAAAAAGAAACTGCAACAAGAGGAATTCGAGGAAGGAATAAGATAGCTCTTCACTTGGAGTACTTACTTGGAGACTAGTAAGACTATTATCACAGTCGGTAGTGTCGATGTCGTTCAGATTGACACCGGACCTTTCCATCTCGGCGTAAGTCCCGAAAGGTAACTTCCCTAAGCACTCCAACTTCATGATGTGCATCTTGCTGCGCAGGTGCTTTGCCAGATGCCCGTGTATCCTGAAGGCGACCTTGCAGTCGGTGCACTTGAAAGGTCTAGGGTTGCTGGTGGTAGCGGCACCGAAGGTCGACGTCATGCTGACCTGTGGACGAGGGAAGTTAAGATCGTTAAAGGGGTAACGATTCGTTTAAATGGAAGATTATCGCAATCCCTGAATCGTACCTTGTTGTGGTGAGAGACCGATCGCTCGTGCTTGGTCAAGTGGCCCTTGGTCCGGAAAGACACCGCACAGCTCTCGCAGCGGAACGGACGTTCGAAGTAATGGATGTTAATGTGCAGCCTCAGTTGGCTAGGCTTGATGAACACCTTGTTGCAGATGCCACAGACACTCCGGCCGTCGTCCGTCACGCTGTAACATTTCTTAGGGTCAATCCTTAAGGCGAATAAAAAATGTAAAGTAACGACCTGTCGATCCAAGGTCGTCCCTCACCTGACGTAATTCGGGGCAGGTCCGCTGGACGGCTGCAGAAATTCCGCTTGCGGTTTCGCCGCACCGCCAGGCGGCGAAGAGGGCCTGAACCCAGGTCCACCGACCACCATTTTCCTGGCCACGGTGTGCTTGATGCTCTCCGTCAAGTTCTGCTTAGCCATCTCTGCACTGTGTTTGGCGTCGAGTCGGTCGCAGTTCTTGGCATCCGCGTGCACCCTGGCGACGTCCTGCAGCGACCTGGACACGTCCTGCAACGACCTGGAAGCCTCGAGGGCCGGGGGCTGCATAGGCTCGTAAACGTGTCTGACATCCTGCACCGGAGCCGGGGAAACTTCGTACACGTGCTTGACCTCCTGCACCTGGAGCCTGAAGTCCGTTAGCAGTCTCGCCTCCCTGCTCGACCTGGCATCCGAGCTGACGGGGCGAGCCTCCATGCCAGGGATAGGTTGCATATCCTGACCGGATCTCAGGTCTTGAGTGGGTAGTCGCAGTTCCTGCTGCCCGGGTAGCTTGAACTCCCCGCTGGGCGGTCTCAGTTCTCTGGCCGAAGGATACTCCTGATTAGGAGTCCTGATCTCCCGACTGGGAGGCCGCATGTCCTGCGACCTGGGGCTATGGTTCTGAATCCTCGCGTCCATCGTTCCCGGCCTCCCCTCGTGGCTAGGAGGTCGCCCGTCCGCCATAAGCGGATGGACGGCGTCGACCTCGCTCATCATCTTCATGGCATTGAACATGGAGCTCCGGTCGATCTCGGTCTTCAGCTGAGAGGACCCGATCCTTCCGGCGAAGTCGACCGAGACCGCGGCGAAACTCTTCGGCGAGTACCGCTCCAGGCCGGGGGTACTCCTGCCAGGCAGGTCCAGGAAGTTGGCCCTCTCCAGAGGACTGCTCCTGCACATCGCCGAGGAGTACTCGACGCCGCTTCTCGTACCAGCGGGACTGAGCAACCTGCGATCAAAGGCCTCCCGGTCCATCGAGACGCGACTCGTCGGCTCCTTGTCCTTGTGAATGGACTCGATGTCGAACGGCCTCCTTTCCACGTTATTCTGGCAGATCATGTCCCTGATCTCCAGTTTGATGTCGTCCGAGGTCTGCTTGGAGATGCTCCTCAGGGTGGGTTCCAAAGGCGACTGCCGCATCTTGCTGGGATCGGTGTACGTGACGGTAGGGGTGCCGTTCAGCTCCACGTTCCTCGTTCTCCCAGAATCCGGTTGCTTGGAATAGATCTCCCTGTCTCGCGTCGTTTTCTCCACCTTGGAGGTGCCCACCCGGTACTGCTGCTTGATCTTGCTGTCCATGACGTACCTCTCGGTCAGGTACGCCTGCAGCATGTGTCCCTCCGCGTCGGGTTTCCATTCTCTGCCCTGGATGGGCAGCCTCTCCATGGTCTGGACGATGGTCTGCATCAGGATGGGCTCGCTCACGGGAGTTAGGATGTCCGCAGGTTTGGCTCGCTGGGGAATCGGCGAGGAGATTGGCTGCTTCGTGGTCAGGTCCATGGGCTGAGGGATGGACGGCCTGTTGTCGGCGGTTCCCAGCTCCTCGACCTCCACGTCCGAGTCGTCCTTCTTCGAGGACTGGATCACGCTGGAGCGCGACTCGTCGGGGATGGACCGACTCGAGGGGAAGTAATACCGATGAGACAACTCGCTCTGAATAACCGTGGTCGCCAGGGTGCTCAGAGGTGAGGAGGTCGTGACCGTTGGCACGGTGCTGGTCGCCACCGAGGACGACGGGAACGTCGTCGTGTACGGATAGGTCGTAGGTCGTCCTAACGGCAGTAAACCGGGCATCCTGTTCGAATTATGTTGCGACAAGCTCAGCAAACTTTGCGCCGCCTCGTGCTCCTCGCTTCCGGACTCCTCGCTCTCCTCCCCATCGGAGTCGTCCTCCTCGGATGAGGAATCCTCGGTGTTCCCGCCACCGGCGGCCAGCCGAGCGATGGCGTCCTTGTCGATGTTCTCCTCGCAGACCGTCGTCGGGACCGGCACTACGCCCAGCTCGACGCACTTCTTGTAATGCGCCTTCGACTTCATGTGCTTCGTGAGGTTTCCCTTGGTCTTGAAACTGGAAACACCGAGAAAAACGAGCCGTCAGAAAGTGGCAACTAGATATAGAGGAAGTGACCTCATGGTTAACACTGTTTTTTTTTTTTTTCCGCTCACCTGAACGCACAGTGCTTGCAGGTGTAAGGCCTGACGTCGGTGTGGGTCCTGATATGTTTCTTTAGCATCGACGGCTTTTTGCAGCGGATTCCGCATTCCTCGCAGACGTACCGGCCTCGACCTGGGGGGCAACGGAAGGATCGTGAAAATCAGTTTACCAAGCGGTCGGTCCGCGTTATGGAAATGATACCGCTACGACCGATTCAGCTTGTTTATCGGCAACTCGTCACCGGTGCGCCTTGAGAGGCGCAAGAAACCGCTGAATGCATTTAAACGCCTTACATTTCCTATTCTCGCGGATTGTCATGCACGATCGATTACAAGTGTACAAGGTTACACCTAATCGCCGGTTATCGGAGACAGGTACTGTCCTCACCTCTCCCGCGGACGTAGGTGTAGTCCTCGTTGCTCTCGAAGCCTCCGTCGAAGATTTTAACCCTCTTCTGCTTCTCCGGGGTGTCGCACTCCGGACCGCCGTCCGAGCTGGCCAAGGCGGTGGGTCGTTGCGAGGAGTGCGTAAGGATGTCCTCCTGCTTCCTCCAGGCGATGGTGTAGCCCAAAGGTCGTTGCCTCGAGTCGTAGTGGGCCACGTCCAGGTCCGGTGGGGCTTCCTTGCAGATCTTCCAGTTCGAGTACATGGACAGGCCGTGTTGCTGGGTGACGTACATGGGTTGAGGTCTGTTCAAGGTGCAGTAAAACACCCGGGTGGAGCACTTCAAGCCGAGGTAAGTGTAGGCATGTCCGTTGAGATATAGCTGCCCGTAGGACTTCCTCGGCCGAGGGGTCTCCGGACTGATGAGGGGCAAGGTGTTGGCCGTGGGAGTGATCCCGTGGTGCTTCTTCGGGGTGAAGGTGCCCGGCTTAAGGGGGAGCGAGGTGGGCCTTAGAAACTTAGGATTGGTCTCCTCCTTGGCGATCTCGCTGATTTTTGGCGACCTAGCTTCAGACTTGTCGAGCTTAACTGCTAATTCTAGGGAAGTCTTGTTTGGCACATCTGTCTTGGAAGAATCCTGATTCACGGTGATAACGGGCGGCACGGAGTCGGGTTTCAGCTTGGCCCCGTTGACCGTGCCGTGGTTCTCGACTACCTTGGACCTGGTCTCCTGGCCGACCTTCGGACGTCCGTTTTCATGCGGCGGAGGTTCGTACCTGGCTACCGGACTGTGTCTGGGAGGGTCACCGGAAGACACCTTTCCAGACTCCAGGTCGGCCACGTTCCAGCTGGAGGGCCTCTTCCTGCTGTCGCTCGACGGTTTCGGCGAGAACTTGCCGGCCTTCCCGTAACTCGCGTTCGCGCCGGAGTCCAGGTTGTTGGGGGTGCTCGGGTAGGTATACGCTTTCTCGACCTTGGGGCTTTTCTCGAACCCGAGGTCCCTCCTCTCGCGAGGGCTCTCGGCGCCCTTGTACTTCGTAACGGCGCTAGTTTTGATATGACGATCGAGCTCGACCCTGGCGAGATCACCGGTCGGGGTCGACGGCGGCCTTCCCCTGAACTTGTCGGCCGGAGTCTCGGCCTTGATGCTAGGAACTTGAGGACTCGCCAGGCCGGTCCTGGGGCTGTCTCCGCTGATGGGCGTCTTGAAGCTCAGCTTGAGGTCCTTGGCCGGACTGGCCAGGTCCAGAGGCTGACCTAACGTCGTCATCTGCACGTTCGACAGGGGCCCGGGCATCCCCGGGATATTGGGCGTCTGGACCTTCACAGGACTCGCGAGGTCCAGAGGCTGGGGGATCATGTGCAGACCCGGGAGGCCGGGTATCACCTTGTATCCCGAGTCGCCGCCAGCTAAGCTCGGGGCTATGTCCACCGCGGCTGCTCCGGAGAGCGTGTGGGGACCCGGCATACCCGGGACGTAGGGGATGACCTTGCCCCCGTGGAGGATGCTGGCGATGCCGGCCGCGGGTAGGGTCAGCGGGTTGTAGGCGGAGATGCTCGTCAGAGGGTTCAGGTGAGGCTCCAGGTAGTTGTAGCACGACATCGTAGGGGCTATGTTGGGCGTTGATATGTTGGGTATGATGGGTGCCAGCATCTTCGGAGTATTCGGCAGCGATATGGAGGAACTCGACGTGCTGACCGGCGTGCCCTGCGGCTTGTGGACCATGGTACCGCCGGAGTGCAAACCCGACCTCACCACGATGGACGCCGTTTCCGACGTTACGCACTTGCTGCCAACTATGTGCTCGCTGGGCGAAGTCGTCTGTCGCGGCTCGATCCTCATGGTTTTGGTCTCGCCCGTGTTGTCCAGGATTCTGACCTCGCCGCCGAACATCTGCAAGGAGTTGGGCCTGGGATACTTGGACAACTCTTCCAGCGACCTGAGGGTCGTAGGCACGGATTCGCATTTTTGTTTTTTAGTGGGCGGCGCGTAAGCGTCCACCAGCCTGGTGTTCCCTAGGAGAGGTCCCGGCGAGGGTAGCGGCTGCAGGCTGCCGTAGTAATCGGACTTGAGGTCGAAATCCGACTCTTTCTTCTCGAGATCCAGTTGGAAATCGGGTCGTCGAGGACTAGGGGCTCCTTTGCAGTAGTACCTACGGTGGGCGTCCAAGTTGTCGGCGCTCGAGTAGGGAATCTTGCAGGAAGGACAGACGAAATTGTCGGCGTCGACGCTGCTCTCCGAGGAATTTTGGCTGCGAGTCTTCAGCAAGAGGTCTTTGATGATGGAGCTCTGGGCGGTCGGAGGTTGGTCCTTCTCTAACGTGAAGCTCTCGCTGTAGCAACGTTTCCGCGTTAAAGGCTCGTCGGCCGACGACAGATTCAAGGGCTGGTCGCACGGTTTTGGCTCGACCAAACTCTGTTGTCTTTGCATCAGTTTGTGCAATCTCGGATCGACCGCGTCGACGATGGCCTGATTGTCCGTGATTATCTTGTCGATGTGCTCCTGCAACTGTTCCGCGTTTGGCTTGTTGGAAGTGGAACTGGTAGAAGAGCTGGAGGATAAGGAGGACGATTCGGCCTCGTTGTTCACGCACTGCAGGGCGGTATGAAACTTCGGCTTGTATATCTTCCCCGTCTTCACGGTTTTCGTTACGGCAGTGGACGTGGGAGTCGATGCTGGAGGCGGAGGAGGTGTGCCTGTGCCATTGCTGGCACTGTCGGACAGACTTATGTCCGAATCCTCCGATACCTGAAAATCGGAAAAATGCTTTAAATGTCATTTCTTTTACATGTGTACGATACGGTTCATGAAATACTAGATATTGTTTCTTTCGACAAAAGTGTCCAGTCAAAGTGAGAATTGGCACAGGTTCAGTGGATGTACGCATTGAAATTCTATACACTGGCTCGAACGGATTAAAGGAAATGGACCGAGTCCACAATTATGTATATTTTAAAGTAGTTACCTTACTAGCATCCCCACCCTCCATCTTGAGTGCATGTGCCCTGGATCTACAGTGTTTATACAAGTTGGACTTGGTTTTAAATGCGAACCCACATGGCACACACGGATACGGTCTCTCGTTCGTGTGAGCCCTAATGTGTTTCTGCAGCACGCTGGGTTTAGCACACGAGAGTTTGCAATAGGGGCAAATGTATCCACTTTTCCTCGACTCGTTAGGTTCGCCCTCAGGTTCGGGTGAGGTCTCGGACTTGGGCGACTCCTTGGCTTCCTTGTCTCTTCTTTTCGGAGTCTCCGAGATCCCACTTTCCGACGAGGTCTCCTTCTTTGGCTCCACCGAGGAAACTTCCGTCGTGGCCATCTTCTTGAACTTTTTGTGAAGGTACTTTGGCTCGCCATCGTTATTGTTGTTATTGTTATTCAGCTGCGGGTCTGTCATCGCCACAGGGTGGGACTCTGCGAAGCAGAAATTAAATATTTCAACATTATCAACAATGCACAGAATTGGGATCTCTAGTCTACCATGATTTTACTTAAAACTACGCGTAAAATTAAAACCTTCAAGAAACCTCCTACATTTTACAACACAGACAAGCCAACTTATTCCAGCATTCGGTCGATGACCAAACTCCAAAGTTACTTTGCGAACCGACGTGGAGTCAAACTCGAACGAACCGCCAGGAAGGTTGCTCCTTCCAGAAGGGTCTCACCCTGGAGAGGGAATTTCCTTGGTTAGCCAAGGGATCCTAACGAACCAGCATCGAGGGGTGCGTAAACAAGCGTAAACGTCCGCGAGTGGCGAAACTCCCCGGTGCCTCGATACTGCTGGGAGGCGTCGACGGCGCGTCGCGTCGTCCCATTCCGGGGCGAGACGGTCTCCATCGTTCGTGGCGCCGCCAAAGTATTCCGCGCGCTAACTTTAGACAGCGGGCTATTTCTATAAAAAACGACGAGTTGGCAGTGCCGTCCGAGGCTTAGCCGGCCGTCGACGGTCCGCAGACTCACCGTCCCGTTCCTAACCTCGCGCCCGTCCATTTGGCAGGGCCACCGCGGAGCAGCGAGCAGAGAAGCACGTCCGAGTGTCGTCACTCCTCGTCACCCGAGGGCAGTCCCGATTCGGTTGGATGAGGTCGCGCCAGCTTTCGCGCTTAATCGCGCTCCCCGCGTGCTCGGGTCGTTCCTGGTTTTGGCCCGAAACCGAGCGCGCATGCGCGCGTCCGCTCCCGCGCGACCCGCATCCAGAGCTCAGAGAATTCGAGGCTCGTGATTGGCCAAGCGGCGGCGCTCCGCGCTCCTATTGGTCGAGCTGACCGCCGAGCGTTCCCATTGGTCGAGTTCGCCGCCTCGCGTTCCCATTGGTCAACGCCTCACGCGGAAGCTTGCCGGGCGTCGTCTGCTACGCCTGACATCTCCGGTTCGTCGCGACGCCCTACGAGCGCGACACGACCGCGAAAACAAAGGACGGGACTAATTTATCAACTCCTTTGACCGCAAAAGTACCTTGACTTCCTTAATGTGCGCACAAAATGGCGTCGAGAAAGGGGAGGTAGGAATAGATCCTGTGATCCTCCAACCGACGATGGCGTTTGAAAGTGGAGCGATGGGTCCGTCGAAGAAAGAACTTTTCGTAACTCGAGCCGAGCTGATACAGCGGGCGCCGCCGGAGTGACTCGAATTTCGCGCCACCATGCGCGTGGCGCTCAAGGTCGCCATGGCGCTCATGGCGGCGATAAGCGCGGCAGCGACGAGTCGGAATTGAATGAAGCGGCATCGTAGACGCCTCTCAATTGAGACTTATTTACCCCTCTACCCGGAAAAGGTAACGAAGGAAAATTCTGCTTTCATTCCGAGACTACGAGATCCATTCTCACCTCTGGGTAAGAATTTCATCTCTAGTTGCAGAGCGAGTGAAAATAACGAACTTTAAGAGTAACCTAATTTTTACGATTTCTAGGCTTAGCGAGCACACCGACATCTGGCGTACGATTTTTCATTCGAGACGTTTCCAGCGCGTGCTGCTGATGCATGATGCATGTAGGAAGGTATACTATCGCATTGTCGGAGCACTCAGCGAGTGCAAGCACCGGATAGCGTATTGCAGTCGGTGGAGTAACCGTTTCCCCGTCACGAGACATCTCCTCGGTTAACGTCTCAAAGAGGCGAGGAGACGTGTCTCGGTGTTACACATTATTGCCACCTAGGTGCGCAATATTGCCTCACTTAATGTGCCGCATAACCTACGCGTAGTGGCTCTCAAGCCTAACGTGCAACCGACACGTCCAGGAATTATCGTAAACGGGACGCATTACCCTGGATGCATACAATGCGCTCTCAGGGCCCCGCTAGAAAAGCTGCTACAAATGGAAGTATGCATCGCGCCAATTCCTCATTAATTACCGCGTTAACGACCCGTAAGAGTATTAATTCGAACGTCGATCAGCTGGATGCTCGACACTTCGCCCGACCTGGCGATTCGCAGTTACGGAAGAATCCAAAGGAGCGATGACGAGGCCGAGCCCTCGAGACCGAAGAAGTCCACTCGAGCGATCCCCTTCGCGACGAGACAATGGTCCGGCGATTCGAGGCGACGACGTAGCTCCCGGGAAATCAGCTTTGTGTCGTCTCGGAGGGTCGGCCCGTCATCGGCACGTTCCGCGTTTGCGTCACGAGGCCGCCCGGGATTCCGCTCGGGCCACGTGGCGGTCTCTTTCCTTCCCGCGGTAAACAATCGCCGTCGCCTCGTTACTCCGTTTAACGGGTATCCGGGACCTGACATTTGCGCGGTGCATTCCGGGGTATCTTCCGTGCAGGCTCGAGAGGTCATCTCCTGGGCGACCTTTCGACGGGTCCGATAAAGTCGGCCTTGCCCGGTCGACCTAATCTAACCTCTCGAGTCCGACGGGCCTCTCGATCGACCCGGCAGGAAGTCGGATCTCCGCGGCGCCGTAACGACGAGTGGCGAGAGGAATTCCAAATAAATAGAGAGTCGGCGGCGGATCCTTTCACCGCGCGGTGCTGCCGCGGCGGGAGAATCCCGCAACTCGTCGAGGCGACGATCCAGCAAGTGAGTCACGCGGCCGACGGGCACGCAGAGCGCCTCGCCCCTCCGCGTTGCGACCGCCCCCCACCGCCGTCGGGCGCGCTCGGGCACTCTCGGCCACTGTCGGCTACTCTCGGCGCTAGCGCGCCGGTGAACGGATGATTGGGTCACGCACCCCGCGTGTCTGCATGCCCTAGGACGTTCACGGCCGCGTCCACGGAATCCCCATTGTTTTCGCGCTCGCCGAGGCGCACTTTGGCCGCGACGAGACCCGACGCGGATTTCGCCGCGGCCTTTCTAATCCCGCGTGGGGAAACTCTTTCCTCAGGAATGCCGAGAGCTCTCGCGGGAAAGAGGCGGCCCCCGACGTAAGTACGAGGGAGCGCCCCGCGGGGGAAGAGGGACCGAGGGGACGCACGGATCCGCTAATCTCTCGGAGGAGCCTCTAAAAGAGAGTCCCTCGCTGGAGGGGCCACTTCCAGCGAGGCAAACCGGAGTTAACGGAACGCGTCGCCGACGTGGAATCGGCGATAAAACCGACGTAAAGCCAAGATTCACGCGAGCTCTAAATGGCGAGCGCACCGCACCGCCCGCGAATCGCGACGTGGCGGTGCCACACCGTTTCCAGTAAGAGGCGCCATGTGCGTGAAGAACCAGCTGCCGGGTGAACGTAAACGCGTATAATGGACCTTACGACGTGTACCCACCGTGTCTGCCGAGTGGCTTATTACCGAGAATACGCGCCGCGGCAGACGGTTAGAAAATCAAGCGTCTCGACCGAGAGCGTATTTGCGAGGAAAAAGTATCGCCAGGTTGAAATCCAGCTGCAAGCCTACTCGACTTCCCTCCTCGAATCTGAAGATTGGACTATCCTGTCCGGACAGAAGAAACCTTCATAATTAAATGGTTAATTAATTCAGAGAAACTCGGTAATACGGGGGAACCGTGAGGCGTCGATAAGCCGACTCTGGCGAGACGGTGCATCGGTCGAGGTCGCGGGTGCACTTAAAAATGCAACGCGCAATTTCCTCGAAACGCCCGATCCGCCTAGGTGACGCGGGAGGTGCGAGCCGCGCGAGGCGGAAAATTCCGCGGCTCCTCCGGGGCCGCGGAATTCGGTCGATCCGGGAAAGAGGGCCGGTAGTCTCGGAGCACGCCGCCGCCGCTTCGGCGGGACGCGAGCGTAGGCGCACGTGGGAACGTGCACACAAATTTCCTGCTGACGTCAGATCAGCTGATGCGCACTTGCCACTTCGAGAAAGGGGGAGGTTCCGGCGCGCGGATGACGACCGGCTTTGAAATAATCCTCGTGGCCGTCGCGACGCTCCCGAAAGTTGCCGAGGTTTCTCGATTATAGATTTCTAGGGAAAAAAAAAAAAAAAAAAATAATCCGCCTCTAAATATATCTCCTCCGGATATTTTTCTATCTTCCTATCGACCATCCAAAGAGCGTAAAGATCTCGGCCCAAAATTCGAAGCGCCGATCTCTTCAAAATTCGGAGCAAGCGCCACAGTGACGCAACCTGCAGTTCGAAGATCCAGACGGGACTTTCCTCGGGATCGCCTTTATTTTTTCCTCCCCTTTTTCTTTCGGACCCTCGCCGACGCTCAAAACTAGTTTCCGCCGTCCCGTCCGCGTCCCGTCCTCGCCACCCCATCGGGACGCGGGGCTAGTTTTATGGGATCGTTGAACGATTTAATGAAGTCCATGAAATCCCGGCGACGGCGGGCGTAAAAGTAAATTTTGAGAGCAGTAAAGCGGTTCGATGTCACGCTCGGCCGGTCCCCGAAGCCGCCAATCGAACCCGGTCGGCTAGTAACGCACCCGATGTATATCTAACCTATATACATCTACACATATCTCCTTTATACCTATACATCCGTCGGTCAGCGTCGGGAATCAGGTCGGCGATTTTAAGTTTAACGACTTCCCCGATTTATTTCCCTATTTCCTCCCGTTTACTCGTGGCATTTTCACCCTCCCCCCTGCACCTACGTGGACACCGCTCGGTTAACGTCAAGGTCTCACTCGAATGCCGCATCCCGAGGCGGGAACTCGCGTTTTTCATTTTCACGTGATTTACCTGTCCAAGGGTCGGAGGGACCGCGGGGCGGCGTCGGTCCGTTGCGCGCGAGGGTCGCGGCGCGAATGGCCCGCACCGGCGGCGCGGCTATTATTTATGACGCTCGCCCACCACTGCCCTGCGCCCGGTAATTTACGGCGGCCATTAGGCCGACTAATTCCCCGTTAACGCGGTGCCAATTACGCCGAATCGGTCGGGTCCGCGGCAGCGCGGAAACGGCGCCGTCCATCTTGGCCGCGGCGCTTCCGCGCGGGATTTATATCGATTGGGTACCCCCTTCCCCCCCTTCCCGGCATTCCCACGAAAGCCACGGATTTTCCTCCCCTGGAACGGGACAACGGGAGAAATCCCGCAAAATTGCCGCGGGCGTTTTTCCTCCCCTCCGGCGCGCGCTCGTATATTCCTCCGCTCGGACCTCCGCGCCGGATTCCGCCTAATCGCCGCAGATTATCCGAGATCGGAGATTATTCCGGGGTGAAAAATTCGAGAAATACGAAAAAAAGAATAAGCAAAATATGTATACATTACCCGGAAGTCCTTTACTACCGGGGACTAGTCATGACGAAAATCGAGATACACCCATCATCGTGAATACCCGGTGCATGACGGTCGCCGATATCGAGGCCATTGATTGACTTTACATTTGCCGATACCTCGGGTCGGTTATCTGCCCCCCCCCGAAATAGTCTATTCCACCAGCCGTTGGACATTGGTTTTTCAACAATCGCGCGGCCGTTTGCTCGTGACACCGATCGCGGCGATTTAATTATCGCGAAAAGTTATCCGAATTAGAGATTTCGATTAAAATACTCGTCGGGCGTCCTGGGCTTCGTTTCGGTCGCGGTTTACAATTTCGGATGGTTTATTCGCGTTCCCGTTACCCGCCCGCGGACGGGTCAGCGATTTAAATCGATCGCGGAATTAATTCCCGCCTACCCTACCCCCGTAGGAGTATAAAAATTAGAAATTCAAGGGCCCTTGGGAAAGCGTAAAAAAAAAAGGAAAAAAAAATAGCGATCTGAATTTTCGAGAGATCACCCCAGGGGGAGGTTAGCCGATCGATCCGCCCTTCCGTGAGACTAAGCGGTCGGCTAAGCGGCCGGCGGAAGGGCCGGCAGTCCTCGGGAAGGGACAATGGCGCGATTTCGAGAACCGCTGAGCCAGACTACTTGCAAGAAAGCCCGTAAAACGGAAAGGGCGAATCGCGCCTTCGTGGAACGGGACGGATTTCGAAAGGGGAGAGGCAAGGGGGCGCGCCCGCGGAATCCCACCGCGGGGCCGCGTTTTCTCACGTCACGGAACGGCCGCGTGACAAAAACCCGGGGCTTCTCTCCCGCCCCCGGGAATCGGCGGGGGAGCGGCCAAACACGCGAGAAATTGTGGCCCCTCCTCGGTCACGGACTTCCACCCCGCGATTCGCTGGCGGAATCTGCTCTCACCGCTGCGGCAGAACGGCGTTTTCGGCGAAACCGAGGAAACGCAATTTTTTTTTCTTCTCTTTTTCCCCCTATCCGATTCCGACGTCGACCACGTGACGAGGCACTTCAAAGGACGCGGCCGGACGGCGCGGAAAATGACTCGCTGACGAGGCGGACTGATAACGAAGAGAGAAAAAAAAAAAAGGAAAAGAAGATTCCGCCATTCCGACCACGGGCGGATATTCGTGCGACCTCGATCGAGAGATATATTAAAATCCACTTCTCGATCGCGGTCGCGACGGTCAATTTCAAAACGTCGGAATGGAAAATAATTCCTTCCGAGTCACCGCGTCCGGGGGGATTTTTCGTACCGCGCGTCCCCCGGTAAAGGGGAATCGCGTTAATTCAAAACGACGGATAAACGAATCAGCGTTAATTTCGTTCTCGGCTTAACGCGTGCGGCGACGTCGACGTCCATTTTACGGGTCGTCCCCAAGGGTCTGGGAAAACGCGTCGTCGGTCTCGAGGTGGTCGAAAACGAAGGCAAGGTAAATATAAGCGATGACACAGCGCCGTCCGATAAACTCGACGGGAATCGATTCCCGCGTCGACGCGAGTCTTCGATACGTTATCGCGGTGGAGAGTTGCATATTTGAATAAAAAACGGGGGGGAAAAAAAATGCGAAAGCAGATCATCGCCGCGTAAGCAGGGACGAGCTTATTGCAAAACGTGTAAAAATAGCGGCGATATTTCTCGGTTTCCTGACAATTTCTCGACCAGGTGAGAGAGAGAGAAAAAGAGGATACTCGAGGGTTGCGTCACGGTCCTCGGGATCGGTCCACCTAACCTAAAAGGTCCCCGCGTCTCGGCGTAGCGTGAAAATGGTCGGGCGTACTTGGAATATCGCGCGGCCTACGCGCTAAGCCACGCTTCGAAGCAACGGCGTATCAGCGGTAGGCTCTCGCGTAAGTGAGAAAGAGAGGAAGAGAGGGAAGGAGATAACCGAGGTGCGACCCAGAGGGGGCCCCCCGCCGGCTGGCGGAGCGCGAGCGAGAGGGAGCGGCTGGTCGCCCGGAGAGTGCGCAAGAGAAAGCGAGACTCGCAGCGAACACCGGTCGCGGGACGAAGACGGAGCGACGCCCAGTGGCGTAACTCCCAATTAACGGTCGACTTTTACGCGCAATCAGAAGAGGCGGAAGGGGGGGATAACCTACGATTTACGCTCGAAAAATGAATGAATCAACGAGCGATCGTCCGCGCCCCCCTTGGTCGGCTCTCCGACGACGGTGATTCCCTGCGCGGCGGACACGTCACTTTTAAACGCTCCCATCCGCGGCATTCCGAGTGCAGGTCGCGGAGAAAGAGAGGGACAGAGAGAGAAAGAGAGAAGGGCGCGGAGGAGAGATAGGTAGACGGGTCTCGTGGTTCACCTGTCGTCATGGCAACGCCGCCTGGCCGGTCCGCCGCTCACTGGGTACTCGTTCGGGGGCACTCGGCTCCGGTTCGGGCGTTCTCGCTGGTCGGCCGCGAGTCGGAGCGCCGGTCCATCTCGGCGCGGCCGGAGGAGGCGCCGTTCCTGCGGGTCGGGTCGGGCGGTCGGCGCGCCGGTCGGGCCGGTCGCGGCGGTCCGCGCAGGCGCAGGGGCGGCCGCTCCTCATTCACGCGGAGCTCGCGCTCCGGCGCGGTCGCGACCGGGCCGCGCTCCCGAGCAAGGAGGAGCGCGGCATGTCGCGCGCGAGGGAGCCGTTGCACTTTTCCTCCCTTCTATGTGTGCGTATTTACGTATGTATGTAAGGTATACGTGTATATATATATATATATACCGATTATACGCTCCGCGACGAGCAACGGGGGAATCCCGCACCGGCACTGCACCGCACTATCCCCTCGTGCCTCCCGGGCCGCGTGGCTATTTTAGGAACGCACTCACGGCCTCCTCTTCTTCCTCTTCCTCCTCGGTGACGTCCTTGGGCAGCGATCGGCTCTCCTCCTCCTCCTCCTCTAGAGAGCCCCTCGGCGAGAGTCCCGTCCCCTCGAGGCTGCGGCGCGGCGCGGCCGCGCGCGCGCGCACCGACCTCCTCTCTCGTTATCCACTCAGCGGCGCGTCGATCCGTCGTTCGCCATGCAAATCCCGGCCGGTCGGTGCTGACGTAGTCGGGCCCGTTCGCGGTATCTCCCCCGAAGTGCCGCCGCCGCCTCCTCCGCCGGCGCTGACGCCCTCGCCGCGGCGGACTTAGTCATTGCCCGCAGCGCGCAAGCGGAGGCGGTTCGCGCTCCGGCCGATCCCTCCCGTCCCCCGACGGAGGGAGAGAGAGAGAACGGCTCGCCTCCTCTCCCTCGTCGCACCGACGTCACGCGTCGAGGAGCGCGCCCGAATTCCTCGCCGGCCGACGTCGAAGGGAGGTCAGACCGCGGTCGCGACCGGACGGTCGCGACGCGTCCGCATGCGCCCGGCCGCCGGACCGCGTCTCGGTCCTCGTCGTCCTCGTCCTCTTCCCTTTCTCACCCCGGATCGATCCTCCCGATTCCCGCGGGTTCCCCTGGATCCCGGGAGGTCGCGTGTTTACGATACTCCGGCCTCGGAGGCACCGGTCGGTCGACTGGCTGCGCGCGCGCTTCCTCGCGGGGCACCGTCGCTCGGGACACTGAGAGAGGGCCGGCGCTCGGCGCGCCGCCGAGTCCGCGTAGCCACCGGAAGGAGTTCCACTCGCGCCGCTCGCGCCGCCCTCGGCGCACCGGCTCGGCCTCGATCGCGCGCGCGAGATCCTCGAGAGATCCTCGCGGTCCCGGGACTGGCGGGCGGGCAAGCGGCGTTGCCGGTTGCGTAATCGCCCCGCCGCCGGCGGGACCTGGCAACCGCGCGCGGGAGATCGCGGCACTGCTGGCTGCGCGACCGCCGAGAGAGGTTAGGCGAGAGACGGCGAGCGCGGTGCCGAGCGGTGCGCCGTCTGGCGTGGCTGGCGACAGTCTGCCGCTTTCCTAGAACCACGAGGCGATTCCGTGTATCGAACGCAGGCGGCGCGGAGTCGCGTCGGCCGAGGGGAGGGTGGGGCGCCCGCGGGGTGGGGGAGACCCGAATGGCCCGAGCGAAGGAGATGGCGCGACCGCCCGTCCGTGGGCGCGACGGAGACCCCCGACCGGCCGTTCTCGGTAATTCTTCCGTTTCGCTTTTACCCGGCCGGCCGGCCGGGGGGTGGGGGAGCCGTTATCTGTTATCCGAAACTTTCTCGCGACCCCGCGACGGCGGCGCGGCCGGCCTTCGGGGGGAGGGCGCGCGACAGGTTAAACGGCCGGGCCAGGCGCGACCGCTCGCATCTAATTACGGAAGCGAATCGCTCTCAGTTTTCGGCCCACGAGGCGTTGCGGAATCCCTGGCCATGCCTTGTATACCCTATCCTCGATGAAAATGGAGTAGAAACGTCCCGTGCGATTTTTTTTTTTTTCTTTCTACGTTCGCTATATTAATTCCTTGGAAAAACGGCACACGAGTCGCCTCGCCAACTTTCGACGCTCGTGACGTATTTCTCGAACTGCGTCTTCTGGCGCCTCGAACGGCCGATAAACGTCCGATGTCTAAGTTTGCATCCGCGATATCTCGGAGATACGGTGGATCGTAAAACGTTTTAAATGCGGAGCGAGCAAAACCGATAAGGAGTATTACGCATCGGGGGTGATCGGCGCTGACCTGCGAGATCCACGCCCCTGGAATCGTTTCAAAATCCCCCATTAGCAGTTTATCCGCTCGCATATGTAATCCGTACGAATAGCGACGCTCCGTTAATTATCTTCCGTCGAGTGACGCGACCGATATGCGATTAATCCATTGCAACATCGATAGGGCCGCGATAATTTTCGAATTTAACGCGAATAAAGCGAGTGTTTACTGTATACGTAGATATCGCGGCCCGCATTCACCGATTCGCGGAAATTTTCGCCCGAGCGAACGCATTATGTACGCGTTTAATAATTGGCGATTACTCGCGTAGACCTCGCCGTGGGGAGAAAAAGAAAAAAAGATGGCGGCCGCCCCGCCGACCGTCCGGCGACTATTCCGAGAAAAGTTGGAAGAAAACTGCTCGACGAAACACCTCGACCTCCACTCCGACGACACGCGGCCCATGTGCGTTTACAAGTCGCGGTCGAACCGCGAGGTTCAGCGATGCGAGGGAATTAATTTTTGCGGGGAAAATGCGCGGACGTCAGAAATCAAAGATGGCGGCCGCGCGCGTCCTCGAGCGTCCTCGACGGCGGCGCGGCGGTTCGAGTGGACTTGTTGCGTCCGAACGTTTGCCAGGCTCGATTATCCTAGGGGAATTCCCTCCGACTAAATAACGTACGATCGGCACGAGCGGTACCGTTAGTGTTTGCGTATCGCCCCAGGAAACGAGACGCCTCCTGCGTCTCGGCGGACACGCCAAGTATTTACCTACACGCACCTTGCGGGGCGAGACAATCGTGTATACAAGATGCCACAGTGGGGATAAAAATAGCGGAGTGATTAGAAATGCGCATTTTGTGGGACGTTCTTGATTATTTGCAGATTCGTAGGTATCCGGAGAGGATTCGTCGATGGACCGAATTCGGTGAATCCTGCTCGGCGGACCCTCGGGATGGCCAGCAGATTACACAGGGACCGGTCGCCCGGAATCGGGGAATACTTCGGAGAATTCTGCAAGGCACAGTGGCTGCCCTGGATTTCCATTACCCTGCCTCTTCCTTTCCCTTGTCGATGAAAGCGGAGCCGGCCGGAGTAAACATTCCGATACGCGCGATCTGGAAAAGGGGTCAAAGAATTCGGGTCCCGAAATAAGTCGAGTCGGGTTTGCGAGGTGGCGTTACCTCGAGGCAGGGTGAAATAGTGTCAGTGTCAAGAACAATTCGTGATCGCGGATACCTGGGTGAAGTAGTCTCATCGCCCCCTAAATTCCCTCGCGACGACAGGTGACTACCGGTCATCGACACCGAGTCCTCCTTTTGCGAACTTCTGGCCGAATCCGAGGATTCCTCCCGAGGGGCCCGGAAGGTCGCATTCCAAAAAGATGCCGGATCGATCGATCGAAGGGAATCTCGGTAAAAATCGATACCCAAGAAATGCGTCCGTCGTGCACGAAGCACCAGGGTAAGGTTTTCCGCATCGTTTCCTCGAAATCGTCGCCGGATCCTGGAACTCCTAGCGCAGCTGATCGGTAGAACCGCAGGACTCGGGTTCCCCTCGATCGGCGCGTCTAAAAAAGAAACCAGGAAGTTCAACGAAGATCGAGAGAGGGGGAGAGAAAGAGCACGCGAGGTAACGTCACCGGGGATCCCTGCACCTGCCGCTCCTTTATTCCCGAGGCTCCTAGCGTAGCCCGAACTCCTTGAAAAGGTGGAGGCACCCTGGCGGTGAAAATCCCTAGGAACCCTACCCCATGCCGAAGGCCTGGTGAGTCCCTAGGAGGTTCCCCAAATCAGGCCCAAATTCCTGGAAGGCTCCCCTGCCCTCTTCGCCAGGAGAACCGGGAATCTCGCAGGATTTCGGGATCCCCGGATTTTAGGGAACCGGGAACGCCCGGTGGAATCCTCATAACGAGATAGATCCGCAGGCATTAAATATAGTCATCGTGTCAAGACTCCTCGAGTAATGAGAAGTACTGTGGAAAAAAAAATAAAAATAGAAGCGAATATTATCTTCGACGGAAAATAATTAGAATAATTGCGACGGTTATAATAATCGATAAGCGATTCCAGCACCCAGCGTAAGGTGAGGTTTTCTCGCTGCAGTTGGACCTGGGTGCATCGGTTGTCCCGTAAGTGCAGCCGGGACAAAATATACCCACCGTCTCGAAGCAACAAGTCCGCCTTCCTCTAGACAAGGAGGGAACCCCATTGACGTCCGACTATACTTGTACACGATCAACCCCCAGGTAACGCGAGCCCTCGTCGGTAATGCAGGTAATTCCGATCCATTAGTCCCGCCGAGCGGTCATCGAGGATGGACAAGCTCGACTCTCGTCCCCGGCGGGACTTTTCGACCCACTTCCGGAAGTCGATCGACCGTCTCGAGATAAAATCGGCGCTGCCGGTCCGTCTACTTTCCGCACGCTTTTCCGCGGTCTTTAACGACGCGCACCGGCGCGTGTTTTACCGGCGAGCAATGGCGCGCGAGTAATAAAACGTCATTCCGGTTTACGAGAGGGGCCGCGGAAGTTCATTTCTCCCGGCGGTGCGATGGGCACCCTCGGCCCGTTGCATCAAAATAAAGCCGGGCAAAGGATTCCGGGAAGCGGCCTTCCCGCGAAACGGACGAAACCAACCTGCGGCGTTTCGCAACAGCGTCGAGTCGCGGCTCCAAAATCGACTCCGAAGATTCTGTCGGATTCGGCCGGATCCGGTCGCAGGAGTTCCCGGAAGCGCGACTCCCACGGCGGATCCCCGGGTACGGCCCTGGGGACCGACCGATGAGTAAAGTGCCGGGACCGCGGTGCTACTACGTAAGAGGCTCGTGAATACGCCTGCGAGAGAGAGACAGAGAGATACGGACCCAGGGAGATCCGAGCGAGGCACGCGATGTATACGCCGTGCGCGAGTGCGCTCGAGCGTGACGGCAAAAGGAGGCTGCGCCCCCATTGGTCGTCGAAGCGGGAGGCGGATGGGGGGGTAGAGGAGGGAAATGCCACGGAGGGGCGATTCCAGGAATGTCCCGGCGTCTCGGGCGAACAACAGTCCGGCTGCCCCGGAACTCCGGCGGAACCTGAGATTGCGCCCGGCGTCCGGCGCGCCCGACCGGGCCCGATCGCTCGGCGTCGCGGCTTCGGCCGGACTCGGCCGAGCTCGGGCGGGGTCGGGGCCGCTCGGCCCGCACCGAGCGCCCGACCGTTGCCCGGCTCGGGTTTCCCGCTCGGCTCGCGACGATCAACGGCCGAGGCCTTCGCCCCCTCCCGCGGGCGCGCTGAGGTCGCTCGCCCGCCCTTCCCCTCCCGCCCCTCGCCGCCTCGACGGTCACCCTCCCTTCCCCGACCCGAACGCGCTCTCCGTCTGGCCTTCGCCGCTCGGAGCCGAGCCGAGCTCTCCCTGGTGACGTCACGCCGCCTGGAAGGGGCGAGGATCGAGACCAGACGATTCTGTTATCGATAGCTCCTTGATAATTGGGTGGCGAGCAATGGACTGCTTAATAGTCCCCGAGTGTGCTTCGTGACGATGCTGCCGGGCTCTTGGATTTCATCTAACGAAAGTAATCCTAATCGACTTTGAAAATTGATGCGAATTGTTGGTTGCGTTAGGTAATGATTCTTGTAATTAAGGTCGTTGAGGTGTAATTTTCTAGGCGGAGGGGTTCGGGGGTAAAGCGAGAACTGGGGCGAGCGGTCGTCATCGGGAATGGTACTCCTGGCATTCCTGGGTATCCTGCAGGAATGTTCCTATTAAAGCGACGCGGCGTCTCGGCCCGACGTCGACGTTGACGTCGTTCGGGAGGGAACCGGAGCACCCTGTGACCGGAATATGTTACGAAGGTTGATGGGATTAGTTCGCACACGTCGCGTGAAGGGTCACCTCGGCCTTTCGCCGCCTCGCCTGTTGCGTCCGGCATTTGAGGTTATGGAGGCATGCGGGGGGTAGCAAGGGACTCGATTGGACGTCTAACGATGTACGTTTATCCGACATGTAGGACGGTAATCCACGTGCTTCGCTATAAGAAGAGCCGATTGCAACAAGGAACGCTAGAGTTCCCGATAATGCTTTGGGTATTGGATGGAGGTATACAAACGGGCCGAGGTTCAGAGGAACTCTGGGTTCGATGGTTTCCCCTCGGGTGAGTCCCTTCTATCTCTGGTAATG